CAAGCACATGCCGTTTCTTCCATGCGCTGAACCTTCTCACTTTTGCTACCAACATACATCTTCACCTTTCACCTTTCGCTCAATTATAAAGTATGTGGATACTGTAGTAAGCTTGGAGTCCAAGACTCTTTCATACAAAATTCCGCATATCCCTCTTTGAAGCAGGGTTCCATAGAGAATGAGGAGCAAAACGACTGAAAGGAACGCTATTAGAACTACTTCATACTAGTTGATACTTGAGAAAACTCAATTTACCATCAAAATTGAGAGCTTAGAACAAAAATGGTAAATGAATTAAATGAAGACTTCAGCAAACATAGCGCCATGCCATAGTGCCACCTACCACGTCTGTAATCGCCAGATGTACAAAGAATAAGTTGTAATAGGACATGAAATAATGTATAAGCCAGTCGAGAAAATACTTGTTAGTTACAGGAATTATTCTGGTTTCTTTCTTAAATCACACCAGCATCGTGTTGCAAAATGCTCACGATAACTGGTGTAAATCTAGAAAGAAAAACCTGCTTATTTGAAAACTAAACTACTCTACAGGAACGACTGCAGCAATCCAAAAAAATTAGTAGTTGGTTGCAGCAGTAGAATAAAATCAGAGGAATACTTGACAAATTTGGCAGCAGAAACCACTGGAATAAGCGCCCAGTCGAATAATGTACTGAATAGAGGGGTAACGGTCTTCAAGACCATCGGCGCCCCAGCACGAATCCAGGGGTAGATTCATCCCCCTCCCAGGGTAGGGAGGCCTCCCCTCCCAGAGTGGGGAGTCAATGGGGTCGCGCTTCTCTGAGCTCTAACTAAGGTAAGGTCGCAGAAGCAAACATCACATGATTACCGAGGGCTGTCGATTCTTCACCTGTTTATAGGGAAAAACTCTGCTCCATTGCAACTGTCTTGACACAGAACAAAGGGAAAACACCATTTGAACGTTCGCGCCCTTCACAAACATTTCCTTTTAGAGACTCTCCCCTTCCCTACCCTGGGCGTTATGCATACGAGCACTTGAGATCTTAGTGGAGTGCGCTGCGCGCGAAGTGTGCGTGGTGACCTACGATTGACGGAACGGGCGTTCTCCCTTTCAAAGCTTTCATGCAATTGATATAGCTGAAAGTGCTTATAAAAGTGAAAAGCCTAGAACATGAAGAAACTCCCATGCGAGTCAACCTCATAACACCACCGACAAAACACTAAAAACATTGAGAAATAACAGTCAGACCCCAGGACCAGAATAAAAGGTTACAGATGTGATGCTGAAGCAAACAGTCGTGAAACATGCCAAATCGAGGAGGATCTACCATTTCTGGCAACGGGCCAAGAGCCGCGCACGCGACATGCGACGGCGACTTCCCTATATTTTTAGATGCGATCATAAAATATGAGGCTCAGTCATCGAACGCCACTTATCGGTATTACCGACCTACCCGACCTACAATTAGTGAAGAAACAATCACAACATCAACATTCAATATTCACATTAGCAAACACTTCACAGACAAAATAGTGGAACCATATTCCCACCAAAAGTTGCTCTTCGACTTCGCAACCTAAACTTACGATATTTTTTCCCACTTGTTTGTCTTCGGGTCATAGCGTTCTACGCATCGGAGGCGGTCCTGAATGAATGCCCTTTCAGCAGCTAACAATACTATATTGGAATGGATGGGTACTAGGATCAGAGAAAGCGATTTCTCAACGTAGTTAATGGGCAATGATGCAATAACAACGACCCATCCGCTCATTCAACTTCTACAGCTGCGGGGCTTTTTGCCACCACTCCAATAGCACTTTTAAAACACCAGTAGTGTAGGGTTACATGACACCGTACATGTTTTCGGGACTAAATTTCGGCTCCATATTCGGAAAACTAGCCTTTGCCGAGTTCTGCTAATGTAATAGTACTGCCACAGAAGGTCGTGTCAATTCCAAACTCTTCCTGATCTAGCTTTAGTTGAAAAAGTGCGATGTCGATATACATACAACGAATGCTCCATCACAATCAAAAACTTGTTGCAAATGACTAAACCCAGAGTGGATTCTTCGCCTATAGAAGTCCTGCGGTTTCGAGCTAAAAATTGAGTGAAGAGATTACTCTGAGATCTTCCAGCGGGATCGCATCTCTTGACTGAAGATGACTGCTGAATACAAGAACAGGTGGTAATGAAAGGAGCTAGACCCAAGCTGTACGGAATGTGCGGTTGAACTAGCCGAGTCTCACATTCTCGAGCTGTGTCGCCTTCGAGAGATGTGATCTTACATTGTTGTAAAGCAGGCAATCATCGTTGGGTTCCGAGAAAGTTGGCTGGGATTTTCGCTGAAATTCGCATTTGACTACTCTAGACTTCGCTCGTTACAGTGCCGTTAGGAGGGAAGGGGCCCCTTGATATACTCCACGAACACCCCACCAGCTGCGCAGAATGATCATCTTACTTGTTCACTCGACAGATCTAATCCCACAGTTGATATATATCTTTCTGAGAAATCCAGCCGTTCATGCCTTCGTTTGTAGTTCACGCGAAGGCAGAATTTTTTCCCTTTAATGAGAACGCTATCCAATCAGTCCGTTCGGAGGGAGTGAAGAGTAACTGTAGACACTGTTCCACGCTCGTTTTGATTTGAGAGCTTGTTGACTTATGAGGAATTCAGTGGCCAAGCTTCAGATGTTTTCAGAGAAGCGAGGTTTTTAAGTTAACTAGGTTTCGTTAAGTTTTAGTTCCGGAGCAGTCGAGTTTGAGTGCTAGAAGGCAAGTCGTTTACTAGGGATTCACTCCGATGTGAGAAATCGGCCGACTCATGGTCAATACCAAATCAGGTGATATTTTCGAGTCAGGTTTGCCTTCCAAACTGTAATTATCTGAACGAAACTAATCGGGCCAATTCATCACCGCGTCATGGTAGAAAACATCATACCCAATGCGGAGCAGATGTTGTGGGTGCCTTTGACTGGGTTGTGCCCCAAACAGACTTCATGCAGCATAGCGAGACGAAGGTGTTGCTGATCCACTTATTCAGGTTCAGAGGAAATCAGCAGTTTAGCCAGACGATATCAAGACCTTGCCCGCGCTACCAAATGTGAACAGCATTGGTGTCACGAACGGGTTGGGTCTTCTCTCCGTTAAGGGCGCTGATACTTCGCCTAGCCACGCGTTACAAGGCGGTCCTACCTGAGACCCCCCGATCGCGGAGGGAGCGGGAAGCTGTGTGCTGTAGGTGCGATGCTATCTGGTGGTATGGCATCCAGTGCCTTCTCCCCTTGCGTACCTGCGAGCATACTACTCCTGCCTCCCTGTGCGTGCGAGTATATATTGCATATGTAAATACCTATGAATAAACTACTAACTATTGTCAATGCGAGTAATGATAGAGAACCCACGTAAAAGCGTTAGCCCGTTATCACGACTATTGCTACAAAACACGAACATAAAGGTTATTACGTTTATCTTCATACAATAGTGAATACGAGTTATGCCTACGGGTCAAGCTCCTACCTCATTAGGGGTCGTCGGCACTCTCTGCCCTCGGGGAAGGAGAGCGACGCGGTGTCCGCAGACGTGTGTCATGCGCGGACCGCTCCTCTCCGCGGCCCCGAGTTCCTTCGCTGACCCGAGGCTCCATGGTGCTCCCAATACTCCCGAGCTGCTGATGACCTCAGCCGTCCGGCGACGGCTGGCAGTTTTTTACTTTCCATCCTCCTGCTCGCACCCTGGAGCCTCTTTTATCTCCTCTCCTTCGGCAGAGTGATCTTGCGAGTGCTCCCTTCAGAGTCGAGGTTATACGATGACGATGGTAATGCGAGAATACGAGACACGAAATAGAAAAGCAACTGCTCAGCGCGTCAACATGACACAGAATGGCAAGGTGTTGAGTGCACACTCGGCGCCACGCCCATGCCACGTGGCAATCGATGACGACGGCGCAATCGATGGTGACGGTGCTGCGCGTCGAGTAGTCTGTGCGCGGTGCAGTGACAGCCCAGATGTATGTAATGAAGTCGTGGGCTTCACGGCAATTGGCCCCATGACCGGACAACTAAATCGACGTAACAAACACTGGCGAGAACTTCAGAACAAAGGCATCAACTTTTGAGACAACCATGTCAGGCCTCATTTGTCCTTGTCGCTAACAATCATTGTAATTATCTGGCACATATCCCACTTGCAGCTGAGTTGGTAAAATTTTGGGTGCTTAACTCGCTTGCTCCTGCATCCCATTCCAAATAAAGGGCTCAAAACCGAATGATTCACTAGCAGGTCCTGCTCTTATGGGTAAGAGTTAGCAATAAAATTGAACTCAATTACACTTTCACGTGAAAGTCGAAGGTTTGAGTGCTTACCTAAACAAGATTGATTGACGTCTAGAACTTAATTCATTTCAATTTGTCACCAACCCCTACTATTGAGAATAAGAGGTACTCGGGGATATCCATGTTTTGGATCAGATTCAGAAGAACTTTTTGGGTATCAATCTCACTCACATTTCGACGGCGCTGATGAAGGCCTCTGACATCAAAGCCACCACATACGTAAATTAGGCCATCCAGCACACAGCAGCTGTTGCTGATGTATGTCCTATAGAAAAAATATTGAATGGAGCGCTGCTAGCTTTTGCTCAATCTACTTTCATGCTTCAAACCATTCCACTAACACTATGCAATTTGTGGATACCCACCCACACCCCATCGAGTATCCACAGAAGAAAAATTTTGAATTCTTACTGTACTGATGCGGAGCCGTCCCAGAACCACTGCCGCTTGCCGTGAGTGAAGAACCGCTACCCTACGAAAAGCTGCAGGAAACGAAAATTCGGGTGTTCATTGGATGTAAGCACCCAAATTTGAACCCAACCCTGATGCTCATACATAATAAGCCGATTGGCAGGAAGTACGAGAACTTCATCGAGAACGACACTTTTATGCAATGAGGAAGTTGACTCCAGTCGTGCTTCTAAAACCTTGAGCAATCGTTACATCATTTTTTTTTGAACGATACCTGGTCTCGAACATCGGCGCGACTTCCATCCACTCACCACGCATGTTCATTTTCATCACGGTGCTGTAATGATTTTCTCCATCCGTCCCGCCGATCACATACAGTTCCTGTGAGAAGAGAAATTACAAAGGCTTCAATTGGTGGACATCGTTATACCACGATTAATACACCATAGAATCAATACATAAAAGCACCAATGTGGGACACCCTGGAAAGTATCGCCCGAGAATGTTCCTTGTGAAGAATGAATGAACGCTGCGCTGGCCATTTCCAGAAAGCATCGTTTTCGAAAAGTTGGATACGAAGAATACCTGCCTATCCTTTATTTTGTTGCTTGCCACTAGAGCTTTTTTTTGGACCTGCACCAACCCCAATACTCAATCAACTTCAACTAACTGTATAGAGTTTCTAACCTTTCATTCCATCAATGAAATGAATACTCGTATCAAAATGAACTTCATCGCGGCATCAGGACATACTGAAGTCCGCTTCCCGTATAAGCAAAGAAAATAAACTTGCTCAGTTGCATAGATTTTGCTCAATGACCCGTTTTTTCTCTTTCACATCGACGTAGTTATCTTACCAAAATTGGATAACGCATTAGCGATAAGTATATAGCAAGTTAGAAGGTGACAACACATTTAATACATTATCTAACCAGCGAGCTTTAGTTTCCTGGCGTTTACATAGATTATTGGCTACCTTACTTACGTCATTGAGCAGTACTGATCCATGGTAAGCAATTGGATGGACAAGGCTGAGGTCACAAAGTGGTTTCCAATCGAGCGTGTCCTTAATAGCAAGAGCAGTCGTTGAAGTGTTATCCTCTGTTACCTCGCCCTCTCTAAACTATTTTCTTCACCTGGTCGAAGATGTCTATACGAGAATGGGTGCGACCGGAATGCCAACCGCCAAACATCACCATCTGGAAATCTCAGATCCGTAGGATCAGGATTCCACTCAATGAAGCATTGCTTTCAAACCTGATCACGTGGATGGCGTAATGGTTTTTCCGATAAAAGATTTGAAGAAAGGTTTTCGTTTAATAATCCAAGTTGCTGCAAGTGAATCGCAGGATCAAATGCTAATTCTCCAATTTCGTTATCACAATGTTTCTGTCGTCACCCTGTGTGTAAGGCGTGAAGAGTAGAAAAAGTTTTGTTCCTTGCCCCACACTCCAACTAGATAAGTTTCAAAATTTTGTTCGAAGTTGAGCTGCTCTAAGGAAACGTGAGTAATTTTCAGAGCGAACCTTCTAAAGGATTCAAACCATACTGCATGATAAAAAAAAGGTTCTTGAGGTATCTCCATGGAATGAACCTGTGATACTTTAGGATACCGCTGTCGGTTCAAAAATAGGCCTAGATAGCTCGTAATGAGGGCCCAAAAACTAGCTTACCCTTAGTACATGCCCAAAGGCTCTTGGCAGCGTAAAGGCCGTGGAGGCTGCACCATTCGCACCGGGACGCACACTTGCAAGCAGGCAGCTCACTCTAGCTACTGTTTGCAGTAGCATACACATTGAACAGCTCGTCCAAATAGGCCTTCTATCGTCACATTCTCGCCCAACCTCTTGTTTTACTACTTTTTCGAAGCCCTATATTTTTCTACATACTTTTTTGCGCTTTTGATTTTCGCGTTTTTTTCGCTACTTTTCCTTTATACTGGACTATCACTTCGTTAGCTCGTCTAAAACTAGATACCCCAAAATTATCGTGGACTTTGCCTTCAAATATTCAGACATGGAAGTTATATGGGTGACAAAATAAATGTATGCTCAGACCTGAGTGGACAGGCCTGCTTTTCTTACTGTTCCAAGCAGTCCATTGCGATGGATATTGCGGCCTACACATGCATCTGAAGTGCTTGAGTTGAGGAATTATGGGAACCCATTTTTGAAGTGGGCACAACCGCCATTCGATAGCAGATGAGCTTTGCTACTATCACGCCTATCAGATTCTGCAATTGACCTACCAATCCAAGCATCGATAACGTGGAGAACATCGTCTTCACTACCAACATTTAGTTTATCATGATCCAGTATACTTCTGAGCTGCTCAAAATCCAGCCTAGAATGTCAGTTAAAAATCGTGCTATGGTACTGATTCCGAAGGTAGAAGTGAGTATACATAAGCACCCCAGAATAGTTACGTGTTTTCAAGACCACTTAGGAAGTGGTGGGAGGAATGCTCATCCATTGTGAGACCGGCAGTTGAATTGGTCTTGTGTGATCGGCTCGCCGCACGCGGCAGTCGTGGACTAGTTGCTTCATTACTGCGGTTCTAGTGTCCTTCATGCAGTTATCTCGGTATGCGATTATCATTTTTGCCATGATTCTAGTGTGACTACTTATATTCCTGTGTTCCTTACTTGCTGCACTGCTTCTGGTTCACTCTGCTGCATTGCTTCGTGCGCGACGTCGCTCCCGCTGCGAAGCGGCGATTTCGATTTTACTGCACCACACCCAAGAGGGAAGAAATGCTACTTGTTTTGTAAGAATTAAGAGCAAATAGCAGATGATTAATTCTTGTAGCCGTTTGTTTCCATTTCTGCCTTCTGCATGTGTTTGATAAGCTCATTGCAGCGCTATCGAGACTTGTAAGACTCCCTGGGGTGCAGCGACAACCGTCTTATATGATGAGCACGGGTTAATGAAGACTGCTGCAGTAGTGCTGAGCATTTTTAAAGAGCTCGCGGCGATATGTGTTCCAGACACCAGCCGGAGGTATTCGAATGCAACCTTTGTGTAGTAGACTTCAAGCTAGAGAAATCTATTTGAGGAGCAGCACGCTTCACTGCCCTACTGGCAACCAATGAGGACCGGTACAGCTACCTCGAAGAAGTTCTTGGTGAATGAGTTTCGCAAAAAAGACTGCTAAAAGAGCGATACAAAAATACATCTAGCCGTACAATTTGCATAGCAAATGACCACATCGACCCAGGACTCTTCCCTTGAAAAACTTGAGCAAACTACGTCGTCCGTTCAAACAGATCAGTGGATTAGGAAAAGACTTGCGGAGGAATCGAATTAAATCCTCAATAACAGTTGGTATGGATTCGATCAATTATAGGACAACTCCTGCACATTGGTTTATCAACATTGAACACGGTATTGAAGCCGCTTTCGACCCTCCTATACATACCTGTAGAACTGAAGACAAATAGTTTTTTCAATCACGCCTCTAGTGATGCGATACAAAATAAAATTGAAAGCCTGAAAAGTTCGTGGTTGTGTTAGTTTTAAGTCCTATTCACGTTGAGCTCCCAACAATTCTACAATAGTCAGCAGATACTAGATGACTTTTTACCTCTTCGGCTAATGAGCTTTTCATAATCAGTAATTTACGCCAAATACCTACACAATTGTGGATATTGATATTTCGAAGCACATATCGCATTACTTCATCCTTAAGTCGAACAAGTTAGAAGTGTGCAAAGTGAATGTTTTTTTTTGTTAGCTGTGATGACCAGTATTCGGATTGAGTTGAGTTGTTGCTTCTAGTTTGCTATCATTAATCTTTTTCACAGGGTTTGACAGCTGAACAGCTGCAATGTTCTCTCGGTTCACGAGGAACGTATGAGGTTCCTGCTTTTGTATCGTCCACATCAGTTGTGATGTTATCTACAGTGCCATGGAGAGCGCTCAGCAGAGACACGCGTTTCGAGCAGGAAGACTGGAAAGCATACATTGTCATCCACCCTCTACCGCCAGGGAATCCTAAATAGTTTTCGGCTTACAGGTTCTTACAAAGGCTACAAGGCCGTAGTATAAGCTTAATTGAAGAATTGATGTTAATCTTGCTTGAAACTTCCAGAGTTTGGTATAAAAATTTATTAGCTAACGTTCCGGCGATATCGCCTCCAGTTACCATTATAAACGTGCCACCCTTCAATCTGAAGCAACGCCTGGTACGAAACCGGCAGTATGACCGCCTATGTACCACCTCAAATTGTGTGGCATGTCCAGCTGGCAGGGAAGGGGATTGCGCTGTCTGGGGTGGTCAGTAAGATAACTTGCCATAAGGAAATCGGTATTTGTGTCCAATTGTAATTACTTCGCACCTTCCTCGCCCATCCACCACTCGCCTGCGGGGTGACTTCCTTTAATTGGTTGGCTGGTGACCTTTCTGACAGTCTCGGTGTACTGATATTGACTTTATGGATTGGAGCCTTTATTATTGTGTTATTATTAATAATATTATGATATTTTTTGTTAATATTATTATAGCACATTTCAAAATAGTTTTTGCATATGTGATTTCGGTAGAACGTTAGAGAACGTGTTGTGCATGGAATCCGGTATATTAGTACGCCATACTTCCCACTTTTGCTTACCTGCCTTTCGCCAACATATGTTGGCACTTGGGTGTTCCACGGATTTGTAGTAGCCGCAGCTGCCCCTAGGGTCTCGGAAAACGTAAGGTTTTGCTTCACAGGGCTTCGGCTTCCTGGTGTTGAATGTAAATGAAAGGAATTCGAAGCTACAACACTCGAAACAGAAAGGGGAGGTGCAAGGGGTGGAAGGGGTGCAAATACATGAAATGGAGGTGGTACAGTGTATAGTGGTGGGCTAGCTAAATATAGGGATTCGTAGAAATAAGAAGGAGCAACAGGAGCAGCTAATCATGAGTTGAAGCCAGAGAAGGCGCTACGGTCGAATTCGGAGTAGTAAAAGTCAGACATCGTGCTCACGCGATGACAAACACAGAGGTGCTGAGGATTTATGATGCTTCCATCCACATGTTTAAATATCTCCGAGTGGCGCAGTCCAAAAAAAGCGATACAGGGTGTTAAAAAAGTTTGAAAGGTTACTCGGTAAACTAGTTTGCCTGCAGGCGTCTAGTGAGAATGAATACTGCATGCTTACTCAATACGATAAATTCTTTTCCTCTTTCTTATGATATTTCCAATGGTTATTTTAGCCTCCACATCTTCTTTTGTTTTATTATTTCTGCGTTTGATTTTTTTTTNTTTTTTTTTGCTTTATTTTATTTCTCATGTTTTGAATGTAACGAAGTTTCTCACTCACACAATCGATATTGTTAGACGTGAGGCTAGTTGTCTGACAGAGAGGCCACCAGCCAACCAATTAAGGGAGGTCACCCCCCAGGCGAGTGAGTGGATGGGCGAAGAAGGTGTGAAGTAATTACAATTGGACACAAATTGACTCACCTCTTGCCATAACTGCGGGGATGAGTATGTTGGTGAAGCGGCAAGACCACTCCACGTAAGAATTAAGGAGCACCTAGATGGCATGAATCGATCGAGGGAGTCCACCGAGTTCAAAATCATAACAAAGACGTCTTCGAGGTCACCGTGGAGGTTGGAAACCGCAATTAAACGCGCGCAAATCCCTCGAAGCATTTTGAATACAGGCCACCAATACGAAAAGGAACCGGACGGAGAAATGCCTCACAATTACGCGGGAACTGAAGCCTTATAAGGTTGGCCTCTCCACAAGGTCCCTGAAGACCAAGCTGACCTGATCCCACTATCGGTTGCTGGGAGATTTCGAGGAACCACGAAGTGACGGTGAGTGCTCCTTCTCTGGATACGTGATGCTCTGGGGGGTCTCGAACTTCCGTGGGGTTGTGGAGACCTTTGATTTAATATCCACAAATTGTTTTTGATCCACTTTCAGGCTCTGAAGATGGCGTTATCTCCGAAATGTTAGCTAATAAATTTTTATGCCAACCTCGTGGGAGCCTCAAGCAAGATTAACATCAATTCATGACAATGCCGAGGTTTATGGAAGCCAGAACGTGGAGACTTATTTGAATATCTGGCAACTTGAAGAAGGCTTCACAGAAAGCATTCAAGACATCAAGGTGTCATGCCAAAATTAACCGGGAGTCAACATGGTCTCTTCTGGAGGACTACCAGTATAATACTCTCGACTTGTCCAGGGGCCTCCCTCTGCGACAAAAAGTCGTCGTAACCAAGCAGTCCACCGAAATTCTTCATTACAGCCGTCACCAACGCCGAACAACTACCAACTTATAAAAAGACGAGGTTGCAGTCTCTCAGTTGAGAGCAGACAAAAAGGATAGTTGCAACTACGAATACTGAGAACTGCATTGAAATGCAAGAAGCAGATGTTCTCGTTGTTGAATAAATGCTTGTCCAAGTAAATGTGTTGTCGATATTTGCCAAGTTGCTACTGGAAGAAGATCGTGTGTGAGTGAAAAATTATCTGCGATTCTATCCGTTCGGATGTCAAACTGAGAATTCAGAATAAGTTCAATAGCCTGGTAGACTCAGGATGATGTCCTATACCTTAACGCTAGGTTTCCACATCTACATAATATTGTACACCACCCTCAAACTGATAGCAGTGAAGAATCCGAGTCTATACCACCTTGAATGACTGCCATTGCTGACACCAGTGTCTCCGGAAATGCGCTACCACTTTCAGACCTAGGTTGCAGCCACAAGGCCATGCAACGTGAAATCCTTGTCGAGCAAAAAAGACCTAGTTTCCCCCACAAGGCTTACCGAACTCGAGTGTCTTTGAATTCTATAATAGGATCAAGATTCCAAAGAGTGACAAGTGTGGCGAGTTGGGGCAATGCCACTGTATCTAAAGATTGCCGCAATCCAAGGATGTTGTCCTTTATCGGCCATCATCAGAGGAGAAACAAAATGTCATTATTGCACAGTTTGCGGAACTACCTGAGGCACTAGGCACACATTAAATGCACTGTTCACGAAAAAATGGTTTCGGAGATTTGCACATGGTTTGAATTCGACGCCCCTCTGATACCATTTGTGCAGGAATGAGGTCGGAAAACGGTCTGGATAGGGCATAATAAGGGGCCGGAGTGTGAGCCACGATCGCCCTCCGCCCATCGCTAATTGCCGTTCACCATTTTCGCATTGGAGCGAAGTTGGTGAAAAATCGATAAGCTGGTTGGCAAATTGCCAGAATTTGCCAGTCAGATTGTGAGGCAAATTGGGTGTGTCGTCTGCTATTGCAGACATTGCGTCGCCTTCGTGCACTCGCCCGAACCTGCCCCTTAACCGCTGTTCTTCCAATGTGAAACTCGTCCAACCCCCCCCCCNCCCCCCCCCCCCTTCCAGCTCTTTTTTGACCCTTTCTATTTCTTTCTGTTCATCGTTTTTTGCGCTTTTTTCGTTGTTATCGCTTTGTTCTAGAGTAGTTCTATCAATACCCGTCAAAAAAGGGTACCCGAAATTTGTTGTAAACAGTGCCTTTAAGGTGTGACCCTCCAGTCTGCATGGTTCGCTATGTTCGTGTTGAAAATAATAAGTTTCATCAGACAACCTGCATTGACTCACCCTTGGTTTTCCAGGTATGCTCCAAAATAAGCACTGTAGGAGGTCTTGCTTAAAGTTCCCTGGCTGCTAAACCTCGTGCTGGTGCAGTTCCTAACATTAATCTCCACCCTCTCAGCAACACTATGAGTCCTCGCACTACTGCGGAACTCTGTTCAGAAGGAAGGTAATAGGACCACTTGACGTGACCCTTTTCACACAAATGTGACAGGCGGGGACGCCATGCAGGCCACCCAGAACTGTGAATGAACATATGGAGTCAACAAATATGTAGGCTTTACGGACTGCACTATATAGGTGTCCGTTAAAGACTTTAAGCAGATTAGGGGACTATGCATGGATCAGCAGCTGGCGTCAGTGCTTGCTGTTGGCCACATGTACATATAAAATACGTATTGGATTGTCGGCCTGTCCGTTAGTGCCGTTACGCAGACGGCTGCTTCGCCGCCTACTCATTCTGAGAGGAATGAAAAGAAACGTGGGGTTGAATGACTGAGCAATAAAGCTGACAATATACGATTTGCACGAGATAAGCTTAAAAGCAAAAGGTTTACTTTTTTCAATGTTTTAATGTGTTCAACGTGTGAATGCAGCCTACGCGAGGGTTCGTGTATACGAAATGGTATAGGAAACCCAGCGCCAAGGATATTTCAGTCTATTTCAGGTCGGCACTTCCACTGAAAGCCGAGCTTGCCGTCACGACAAATATGTACGTTCAAGACGATGAAAACGGTCTCGTTGGGTTGTTGGGAACAAGTAGGATAAGGTGATGCGAAACAGCACTCAATAAAAGAATGTCACTGTCAGAAATTTGTACTGAGTAGCTCTAGGTTTTTTCAAATCTTTTTAGTCCTTTCACNTTTTTTTTTCGCTAGCCAAGTTGTAAGCAAAAAAATGCGTTGCTTCCTTTTCAGCATGGACGAGTCAAACTTTTTCAGATCTTATGGATGCCTCAATACAAGCGATGTCTTCGAAGAATTCAGAAAACGTCTGTTTTCGACACGTTGTTATCCACTCTGAGGTAATTATTTGATGGTGAATGCCGACATTCCGTGAAACAAAAGGGCTCAGAGCAGCTCATCATTGCTAAACATATCCATGACAATGGAGAGATCAGAGGGTTGTACTCAACTCACTGTTAGTCCTTGAAAGTCTTTGTCGCCCCTCATATCCTCGAGTGCGAATTCCAGATTGATCCACTTACATTCAGCGATCGGTTCATTAACATGAGTTATCAAATGAATCTGGGAACGATAGAACCATCAACTGACGACAAGTCATATACAGTGTATAGACGGAAAACTTACGAGATCCTGTGAGTAAGGAAGAGTTAGTATCAACTTCAAGTCATCATACTTTTTAGCTATTGCTTTGCTTTCTAAATATGGGAAGTGCCTTTGTAAATGCGAGTAGTTCCATTCGAATCTGAATGAAATTACTAACACCACACTGCTATATTTCGCCTTAGATTGGTGCGAGGGTCGGAATTCATTTACCAGGGTTTCGGCTAGTTATGAAAATCCCCATCCTAAATCTGTGAAGATGGAGGAATCTTGCACTACCAGCGAAGGTCGCCCTATGGGCGTCGTAGTAGCCGCGATGATTAATTACACTCAGGAGTTCATCCACTACTTGTTACCCCTACAGCTCTACTGAAAATGAAGTTCCGCATACTGGTCAAGCTTGTCTACTATCCACGGATTCTATGTATGTATGCAATGTTGCATTGTATGTTTATTACACGCGGTAGAAACATAAGAAAAATTACTGGAAAAAAGCCCAACGAAAACGAATCCAGCATAAAACAGCATGAATTGTAAACCACTGTGCCACCTCTCAACGTATTAAACAGTCAGAGCTACATCGTAAACACCAAGCGGGCTATAAACGAAGTGTGTTTCGCTCGTCCCGCAAACATGTGATACAGTAACCCCTTACCAAGGAGGGGTAGTCTAGTTACCGTGAACTTTTAATGGAGACCCATATCAATCAATAGAGTTTTGAATGCTGTTTAGTTTAGGGATATGGGAATCAAAAATTGCTCAATGGCTCCACTAGAAAAGATATGGAGGCTCGAAATTCGCTCGGCAGTAGTGTCATTCGAAAATAAAGTCGTCGCTTCGTTATCAATCGTCACCGTGGCTTAGCGGTAGTGGTCTGGCTTAACAGGCGAAAGATACGGGTTCGCTCCCCGCCACCGTCGATATTCTTGCATTGTGTTCATTCGTTTCATGAGACACTCTCAAAGCCTTTTCTGACATTTGTTTGGGTGAATGCCTTATTCCTACTTTCATTTGCACTTGTCGCACATATGGAGGAGGAGTGGATCTGCACTTTGAAATTCAAGAAACATTCAACGAAGTGATGCCAGAATTGTATAAGGTGTCTATGAGGAGCTCAATACTGAGGAAAAAACTGAATAAAATGTGTGAAGCAGCACGTTGTTCGCAAACCGCTTACTCTACACATGCTGCTTCTCTTCAACCGGAGACAAAACATTTCTTTGTCCCAAGATTGACCAATTACCCGCCACGAGTGGCATAGGAGCCTGGATTTTCCTCAACATCCCTCATTCTTGTACCAGATGCATTTTAAAGAATTTGAAAGTTGAGGTGCACAGAACATTGATATACAGTAGCGCTCAAAAGTCTTCGGTGAAATGTTTTGAAGCTTTTTCCTTCATAACTTTTTTCTTGGTAGACGAAATCGCGCAAACTTCGGATATGTTTAACTAAAGCATATTTCACCCTACCCATTTGATTGCGAAGCTGCGATATCCACAGATAGAGCAAGGTGTTTGTTGCGGTAGCAGATTTTGCTAAAAGTGAAGTTGTTGACGTCTGCACATTATGTGCGTTTTTCTCATCTACTGTGTTCGGCATTACCGCTCGTACATTTAGGCATGACAAAAAGGAAAGAGATTCTAGAAGGACCATCATCTTTATTTTCAGTTAGTTTTAAGTTCATGCTCCTTTGAATATCTGGAACATACTCAGATTGCAGGTTAGCAGTGGTAAATATTCACAATACACCCGCGCTCCAAATACAGAAATTTTGCATGATTAGATCCATCAGGAAAGGAGTTACGACAGAAATGTACGACTGAAGAACCATTTCACCGAAGACTCCTGAGCGCTACTGTACGTATAAAATTTAAAGTATTTTATCTCGCTGTCTCATGTAAAATTCCGCGATACTCGTCATAAACTTAAACAGTTTCTCTTTAAACGTTATACATAGAGCCGAAGAAGAAGACTTCTAATGAATAAACCATTGGCCTAGCACCGGCAGCTATATGGTTGTCTTCAAGTTTGCATTGTGTAATGAAATGCTCGTCATGAAGTGAGCCGCACCGCTCCACATATACAATGATAAATCGCGATACACATCTTCGGGTGTTGGTATCGTGGAAAGACGACCATGAATCCACAGTAAAATGCATTTCTTGGTGAGCACACCTACTCCCAAAAAGACATGTCTAAATCCAATCGACCATGAGCTCCTTCATCGTAATGGGTGTTGAGCCCACTATGACCACTGGTTTTGGAGCTTCGGAGTCCCTGAAAATTTTTTGGAATGCCCCTGGTACATGAATCAAGGATGTTGAGTCAAATCCAGGCTCCTGTGCCACTCGCGGAAAGTAATTGTTAAATCCTGGGACAAATAAATGTCTTGTCTCCGGTTGAAGAGAAGCAGCATACATAGAGTGTGCGCTTTGTGAAACATTGAGCATTGTTGAGAGATTGTTTGTTTCGTTTGTCGAGTTCGTATTTCCGATGACACTTCTGTTGAGCAAATTTCGAGCCCCCATAGCTTTTTTAGATAAGCTAGTTAGCAGTTCTAATTCCCATATCCGTAAACAGCATTCAAAACTTTATCGATTAATATGGGTCTCCATCAAAAATTCCATGATGCGTAGACTACCCCTCCCTGGTTAGTATCCTCTACCCACCCCCGTAGGCTTCACCATGGGTACCTGGGTATGGGTACTTACGTGCGTCCGAGGATGCGCGCGGCTAATTGCGCGGCGGAGTGCGTGGTGATTCGAACGACTCTGGGGCCTATCATTGGGGTCCAAACTCGAAGTAGAGTAGATGAGTAGGGTCAGCTGATACTAATAATCTACTCTACTTCAAATTTGAACCCCAATGATAGGCGCCAGAGTCGTTCGAATCCCCACGCACTTCGCCGCGCGCATCCTCGGACGCACGTAAGTTCCGTCCCCCTGGGTACCTTTCTATTGCGTCGTATATGTGACGGGTGTTTGCAGGCGCTTGAGTGTGTGTTCGTGTTACTGCGTAACACATTCACGGGACGATTAAATCCGTCTTGTGTAAAATTCCCTATCAGACCTGCAAGTTGTTATCCAGTTTTATAACATAGTATCATCGTGTGCACTTTATCAGCTGTATCACTACCAAATCTGATTGTCATAGATTTAGCAGAATAAATGTTATGAACTCCTAGTTGATCACAAACACATATACTCACGCAAAGCGGTTAAATACAGTAGAATACTGATTATTCAAATACTTCTCACCACTTATAGGGGTTTTCCGCACTTTCAATGATAGTGCTTACACATCTTTTCGAATATAAAAAAAAAATTTTATGTCCGCCCCATGCGACGATGACTGCCTAGTGTGACGAAAGGCTGCTTGCAGACTTCGACGTCCGTCCTTCCGTTCGTCACGTACGTGCTGCGACGGCGGCGCTAGACGGGTGTTGATAGCGCTGGCACGTGATCTAGTGTTGTCAACACCTGTCTAACGTCTGTCGTCACAGCACGCACGCGATTGCCGTTGCAGCACGCACGCGACGGGCGGACGGACGAACGTCGAAGTCTGAAAGAAGCCAAACGCTCACCAGCTTAGATAATATGTCTCGTCCCGAGGTTGCGCAAACAAAAAACGCGCTCATCATCAGTGTTTCAACATAATAATGTGATGGATTACTCCATGACCAGTAAGTAACTCACGTTGAATTATCTTTGGACTGTAAGACTAGGTCGAAGTAGGCATCGCTAGACATGGTGCGGCTAGCACCAGCGCATAAGTGAGTAATGAAGCAGAGTAGCTTCAATGGATCAGTATCTGAGTAGTAAATACTATCTGATAGAACCTTTGGCAAACAACAACCAGCAAATTTCGTTTCTATGAGAACAGCCATTCATGCTAGAGATGGTAGCGCTCGATCTGGGCGTTACACGCGCAAGGAAGATTAGTAACCGTCATGCCACTAGCCCTCTATCGTTATGAAGTCATTTACTGGATGCCAACGAGAACTAGCTTTCCGAAAAAGCCATCGTGGAAATCTAAGAGCCGCTTATAGCTCTGCAATTATGTTTCTGGCGCCCAATGACTGCCCCTTGGTCGATTGGGTACGCTACATGCCGCAATTTTTTAAGAACGTCAATTCCTTTTTTCATGATGAGGTGTTTATTGCTTTTTTCATGTTCATTGTCTCTAAGATACATTTACATTTTAACGGGCCACCTATTCTATTATTTTTAGTAGTATAGTTCATACATACATACATACATACATACATACATACATACATACATACATACATACA